CGCCAACAAAGATGGCGGTTAATTTCCATACTAGGTTCCAAGCGGTGGAGTGAAGTCTGATGGCCTGGGGCTGGAGCAGCGAGGCCTCACACTCTGGCACCAGGCAGAGCAGCAAGGCCTCACGGCCCCAGGGTTGGCGGAGCAGCGAGACCTCACAGCCTGGGATGGGCATAGCAGTAAGGCTTCACGGCCCAGGGATCGGTGGAGCAGCGAGGCTTCATGGCCCTGGGATTGGTGGAGCAGCAAGGCCACACGGCCCTGGCACCAGGCAGAGCAGCAAGGTCACACGGCCCCGGGATTGGTGGAGCAGTGAGGCCTCACGGCCCCGGCGCCAGGCAGAGCAGCGAGGCCTCACGGCCCTGGGATCGGCGGAGCAGCAAGGCCACATGGCCTCGGGGCTGGCAGAGCAGCGAGGCCACACAACACCAGGGCTGGCGGAGCAGCGAGGCCACATGGCCCCAGTGCTTGGCGGAGCAGTGAGGCCACAGGGCCCCGGTGCCAGGCGGAGCAGTGAGGCCTCACAGCCCCGGGGCCTGCCGAGCAGCGAAACCTGATGGCTCCAGGGTGGCTCCGGCCAGAGCCCAGCCAGAGCGAAGGCCTGGATCCCGGGTGCGGGAGGAAAACCGGTGCCAGCAGCCAAGGGAAGGGAAGGCCTATTGCACGAATCTCTTCATGCAACAAGCCTCTAGTATATATATATATATAAAAGCCTAAGTGACCAGCTGACTATCTCGTAGCTATGATGGACACTGACCACCAGCAGGCAGATGCTCAATGCAGGAGCAGAAACCACAGGCATGGAAACATGGATCACACTGATGAATCTCAGAAGGAAGCAGGGAGGAGGAAGGGCGGGAAGAGATTAACCAAGGATGTTATATGCATACTAGAAGCCTGGTGCATGGATTCATGCACCATTGGGGTCCCTCAGCCTGGCCTGCACCCTCTCGCAATCCGGGACCCCTCAGGGGATATTGGAGAGCTAGTTTCTGCCTGATCCCTTCAGGCCAGGCTGAGGGTCCCCACTGGTGCACAAATCCATGCGCTGGGCCTCTAGTAGAGATATAAACATAAAATGGTCTCTTTATCTCCCTTACTAGACTGTAGTTTCCTGAAGGACAATTAAAATCCTTATTTATTGCCCAGCTGGTGTTGCTAAGTGGTTGAGCATCAGCATATGAACCAGGAGTTCATGGTTTGATTCTGGTCTGGTCACATGCTGGGGTTGTGGATTCGATCCCCAATAGGGGGTGTGCTAAGTGGTTGAGCATCAGCATATGAACCAGGAGTTCATGGTTTGATTCTGGTCTGGTCACATGCTGGGGTTGTGGATTCGATCCCCAATAGGGGGTGTGCAGGAGGCAGCCAATCAGTGGTTCTCCCTCATCATTAATGTTTCTATATCTTCCTCTCCCTTCCTCTCTGAGATAAAAACTATATTTTTAAAAATTATCATTACTTACAGATTCTGTATTTGTGAATTTGTATTCCTCCTAAAATCCATTTGTTACCTACAAATCAATACTTGGAATGCTTTTGCCGTCAATAGTGGACATGTGCAGAGCACTGAAAAACTTGAGTAGCCTAATGAGCATGCTTCCAGCTGAGGTTGAACGAGAGCATGTTCTCCCTTCCTGTTTCAGCTCATACTGTTAGCACGTATACTTTTCACAGTCTATTTAGTGTTATGCTTTTCATAGTTTTGTGCTTTAAGCTAGTGATTTTATTTAAAATGGTCCTCGTACTGTAGGAGCTCCAACCCAGGAAGCTCCATGCTGTTTTTTGCTAGTCCAAAAAAACCCCAAAAAACTATGTGGGGGGATCAGAGGGGACAGACATAGACTTTACTACTTACATCTGGGGCAGATGCCATGGTGACCAGTTTGGTGAGTTTCCACACTAGGCTAGGGGAGTCTAGGGGTTTATCTAGCAAAGGAGAGAGGGAGAGAGAGGGAGCTGTGCTGGGAAAGGACAGAGAGTCTGGTGAGGCTTGTTAGCCGTTAAGGACATGGGAAACACTCTATAAGCTGCTCTGCTCCTTGTGGCCTCTGGCCAGGCAGACACTGTTCTACTGACTGGGAGGGGGGATTGGGCTATATCTTTGCTTGATACTGTACTACAGCCCCTAAGCAGAGTGCAGCAGAGCTTTGTTTTCTAGTATTCTTAAGTGCAGGAAGGCTGTGATGTGCCTGACAGAAAACGTGTGCTCAATAAGCTTCATAGTCCTGTTGGCCATGGGTTCAATGTTAATGAATCAAACACACATATTCAATAAGGTGCTTTTAAACAGAAACACACATAAAACAAGGTTACATATTTTTTTAAATATATTTTATTGATTTTTTACAGAGAGGAAGGGAGAGAGATAGAGAGTCAGAAACATTGATGAGAGAGAAACATCGATCAGCCGCCTCCTGCACATCCCCCACTGGGGATGTGCCCGCAACCCAGGTACATGCCCTTGACCGGAATCAAACCTGGGACCTTTCAGTCCGCAGGCTGATGCTCTATCCACTGAGCCAAACCGGTTTTGGCAACAAGGTTACATATTGATCAGTTGATGAAAATGTTCTGACCAGAGGCTTTCAGGAACTAAATTTTTTATTTCCCCCAGGAGTAATAGTTCAGTCTTCACTAATTCACTGTTTGCCATGACTTATAAAATGTAACTACCACAAATAATGAGAACTGACTGTATCTGCCATTGTGCTATGCTTAGCACTCAGTATTTAGTAGATGGCCCAAAAGGATTATGAACAAATGCCTGCAATAGAGGGAATGGAAAGGAATAAACCAACTCATTGGAAATGTTAAATATTGGAGTTCAGGAATTGGGATTTTAATACCATGCAGGCCAATGGGAAGCTGTTGGAGACTTTCTCCTGGAGTGATCTTTAGATGTTGATTGAATGTGCTAGATGGTGTGATGAACAGAATGAATAACCTTGGGGCCCTGCTCTCAAGGAGTATTGCAGAAGCTCGGAGGGGCCCTTATGAAGATGAATTTCCCAGAGATTTAGAGGATGGATTAGAACTGAGAGAAATGAAAGCACAAAACCAAGTCTTGTAGCTACTGAAGCAATCCTAATATGAGGTAGTAAAGACCAGAATTAGGGTGTTGCAGGGAGAACAGAGGAATGTGGTGTAGGTACTCAAGTTATTGTGAAGTGAACAGCAGTCAATGACTTGGTACAGAAGAAGATGGGAGTGGGACTAAATTAAACTCAAGTTTGTTTTAATTTTGCCCCCGGCTTTGCTAGTTGCTGTGTTTGCAAATGTTTTCCTCCTCTAAGGTTATTACTCTGTAATGTGCTAAGTTCTTTTAAGACATTAGCAATGGGGTCATAGTCCTCATCTTTTATAACTAACAAGCTGATGAATTGTTTGGGGTTTGGGGCTGAGAGCTGGGGATAATAGATACAATTTTATAATTAATAGTGAATTTTTATAGTTAATTGTGAAATTTTGCCTGGTGGGATGGAGGGAGTCCAGAATTGAGTTATCCTTTTTGTTTTAAACTGAAAATGTGTGCCATCTAAGTGGTTTCTGCAGTCATGATAAGTTATATTCAGCATTGTATACATAAATGTCACTAATTCAAATTTACTACTATATTCTGAGAGAGTAAGAGATCAGTCATTCGTTGAGAAATGTGTGTGAAAAAATACAGAGACCTGGGGATCAGCATTAATTCTGTTTTCAGTGGCATATATAAAGTAGTAAGCTTTTTAACTTTGTAAAGTAAATCCTTCATTGTATAGTGCTCAGTATCTTTCTTTACAGTTTCCATAAACTGAGAAATAAAACTGTTTTCACTCAGCATGATATTAGAAAGCTTTAGGTTTGGAAAGCTATTTAGTTAAACTTTAAATACTTTTGCAATGCACTTTTTTAAAATTAAAACTTATCTTTTAAAACACAGTTTATATCTTAGTATAAATCATTTGCTTTACCAGTTGTTTTATATGGTTATGCGAAAATGACTTCCTACTTGGAATCTTTGAAATAATACTTTTTTCTGGTAAATTCATCTAAGATAATCAAGAAATGTAGATGTCTTTATGTTGATTTTCAAGACAGAATTTGTATAGCATTTTAAACCAGTAGTATTTGTTCTATCTGTGGCTAAATACCACATGTGTTAAACACTACTTGATATTGAAAATTAAAGGAATTTTTATGTCCTTTATATTTTCTCATCTGCTTGTTTAGCGTATCTGTGTGAACAAAGCTATGTTTGTAAAGTATATTAAGTTTTGATTAGCCTTCTTCTCAACTGCAAGTACTCCACGGACCTTCATTCAAGGTTCTTATCCCTGGACTGATTGATACATAAACAGAAGACAGATGGTGTATAGATGACTCTGATGATAATTCATTTTTTAGCTAGTCATGAAGATATTTTGATTACAGAGTATTAAGTACTTATAACACAGTCTTCAATGTTAGTCTTGCCGAAAAGGGAGCACATGGAAAACAAGTTACATGTTATTCATACCCAACAAAGGATGCACTGTGGTGTAATGATTTTAATTCCCAATGCTAGATTAGGACTGGAGTTGTTTAAAATATGTCACATTGTAAGCTAAGTCAATTACACACAGACCAAATAAAAAAGGTAACTGCACAGTTTTGAGGCATAAATATTTGTTTTGGGAAGTATTTAGATGTTACTATATAAAAGAAACCAGTATTTTTACATTTAGGTAACAGTCTGTGTACAGCTAATTAAAAAATTACATGGCTTGATTTTAAGTTTATGTGAATCGTAATCACCATGGAGCTTGCTTTTCGTGTCATGAATTTAAAACTGAAATCAGAGTGCTCACAATTCAACAGCATGTTATATCCCTGCTGTTTTTAAAGTTTTGGAAAAAGAAATCCAAGCAAAATGTCAGAAGGACAAAAACTAATTAGAATTGTCTGAATAAATAGGCCACTTAAATTTTCATTTACACATATTAGTTACAGTTTATGTCTCTATTTTTATTTCGCAATAGGATAATTGATCGCTTAGATGGAGTTCGTTTGTTATGGTCCTTGCTGAAAAACCCCCACCCAGATGTGAAGGCCAGTGCTGCTTGGGCCCTCTGTCCCTGTATCCAAAATGCTAAGGTAATAAACTACAGTCTATTCAATTCTGGGATCTCTAATACTATATTGAATGTCACCAGAGTCCACTAATTGCTTTTGACATTTTTTGGTCAGAAAAATGGTCAGAAAAATTTTTTGGTCTTATTTGGTGGAAAGAGTCCTGAACATTTGTGCCAAATAATTTTGGAACAATGCCTTTTCCTGGTCAGTTTTTAGATGCCAAAGAAATTAGGCTAAAATGGCACAGTGTTTACTAAGTTCTACTTGGCTGGGGCAATTGAAACAAGTACCCCAGAAAAGTTGACCGTTTTATCCTCTTGGATGATAAGAAATTTGCCTGCATTCATTGGCTACTTTCAGAAGCACACAACTGCTTCTTATCTTATTTATAGCACAAAATACAACAGTGAAAGATCACTACATTGTTACCTTGAAAAAGTCACTTAATTTCACAAATCACACTTTTTTTATCTATCAGTAAGGATTGATATTAAACCTATGAATAAAATTTGTACATGAATGAAAATACTGAACTGGAAATTTCTGAATTCTTTTAGCTCTTCATTTTAAAATTTTATTCTTTTGTTGTTGTGTTGTTAATCCTCACCAGAGGATATTTTTCTCTTGATTTTTAGAGAGAGTGGAAGGGAGAGATAGAGACAGAGAGAAACATTGATGTGAGAGAGACACAGTGACTGGTTGCCTCCCACATGAGCCCTGACCAGGGCCAGGGATTGAGCCTGCAACTGAGGTACATGCCCTTGAGCAGAATCTAACGCAGGACCCTTTAGTGCACAGGCTGATGTTCTATCCACTGAGCCAAACCAGTTAGCGCTAAAATTTTATTATCTTTAAAGATCTCTTTTCAGCCTTTTTTGGTTCTCTTAAATTTTTTTGCTGTAGGTTTACAGATTTCCCTTTAAGATCCTTGTTGCTAGAGATGTTTCCCTCTGTTGAATATTTTTAATTAAAATATTTAATTTCTATAATAAAGTTAATATTACTCTAAATGTCATCCTAAATATATGTGACCATAAAACAATCTTGTGTAAAAAAGTGGATTGTCTTATATATGAATAGTAGAAGGAGACCTATTAATTACAAACTGCAGAATAGAATAAGTTTTTATAACAACAAATAAATAAATAAATAAAGCAACTCAAATGTCAATCTACAGGAAAATGGACAACAGGATGATAGTATAGTCATGTAATATCATACAATGCAGCAGTGAAAAATGAATGTTTTTCAGCAGTGTATTCATCAATGTTGATATATTTTAAATAGATTGAATAAAATAAAAAAGTTTCAGAAGTAGATATACAATATAATTCTTATTATACGGGGTTCAAAGAATTTAGAATGCAAACTTTGAGTGATATTATTTAGGGAACAGGACAGATGCCTATAGGGGAAAGATTACTACACATCGTTGAAGGGTGTCCTCATCAGTGAGATGAGCAAATCAGTTTAGCCCTTTGTTCATGATATGAACAACCAAGGATCAACAAATATTTAAGGAAAGCTAATGGCACTGGAGACAAGCCAAGTTTATTAAGGAGTACTAACTTCAGAGAAAACAAAGATAATGTAAAGAATAGATTATAACTTTAAATTTTAAAAATTAATATTCTCAGAATGACCCAAGGGGAATACTATGCCCCAACAGGCTGTTATAAAGAAAGACATATTCATAGACTGAGAGATGATTTTTGGAAATTAAAAATATATTTGGCAAAAGAAATAAATTTTATTGAAGAGACAAATACTAGATTTGATTAATTATCAGGAAGGTAAAGATTGGTAAATAACTAAGAATGTAAAGTCAAATTAAAAAGAAAATAGGAACACGTATGTAATACCTTAATAAAGAAAAAATAATAAAGAAAAAAAGGACTTGACACATGCAAAAAAGAAAACAATTGAAAGGAGGAAATAATCATAAAACAAAAGGTGGGGGTGGGAATTTCTGTGAACTGAAGAGGCAAGGAAAGATTATAGTCTCCAGATTGAAAAGACCCACTTAGTGCCAAACAGGGGAAACAATGTTATCTATGCTAGACACAAATTCAAATTTGATATTTCCCTAAAGGAAAGAAGAAAGTTACATGAGTACAAGAATTATATTATTAGTAGACTTAACATCATTTGCAATAAATTGTAAAATATTTTTAAAGGAAAATATTTTTATCCTAGAATTACATGTCCTGCAAAACTAGCATTCAACTGAGTATAGTGTAAGGACAAAATAAAGACATTATTCTTTTAGAATTGTCAGGACTCAGGAAACTTATCCCAAATGAACCTTTTCTGAAAAAGTAATTAGTTTATAATATTTTCCAACAAAACAAAAGATTCTAAGCAAAAGAATGACATGAATATAGAAACAATAATGAAAAAATAAATCATTAGAATTATAGTTAAATATGAATTTGTGTTGATAATGTCTTTCAAATTATTAAGAAAGAATTACTTTAAAAGTAATGGCCTATGACAGTTCCATTTTTAATTTTTTACACAGCGGTTATATCAGTCTGCATTTCCACCAGCAGTATACTAGGGTTCCCTTTTCTCCCCATCCTCACCAGCATTTGTTGTTTGTTGATTTATTGATAGTAGCCATTCTGGCAAGTGTGATGTAACACCTCATTATAGTTTTAATTTGCATCTCTCTGATGATTAGTGATGAGTAATTGTTCATGTCTCTTGGCCATTTGTCTTCTTTGGAGACATGTCTATTCAGGTCCTCTGTCCATTTTTTAATTGGGTTGTTTGTCTTTCTTTTATTGAGTTGTATGAGTATTTTATATATTTTGGAAATTAACCCCTTATCAGATGTATTATTGGCAAATATGTTATCCCATGCAGTGGGTTCCCTTTTTCAATTTAATGCTGGTTTCTTTTGCTGTGCAGAAGCTTTCTATTTTGATGTAGTCCTATTTGTTTATTTTCCCCCTTTGCTTCTGTTGCCCTAGGTGATGTATCAGGGAAAATTCTACTATGTGAGATGTCTGAGCTTTTGCTGCCTATGTTTTCTTTAATTATTTTTATGGGTTTATGACTTACATTTAAGTCTTTTTCCATTTTGAGTTTATTCTTGTGTATGGAATAAGGTGGTGGTCTAGTTTCATTTTTTTGCATATATCTTCTTTCTCAAGATTGCTGCTACAATTTGTAGTCTTTTTTTTCTAGGAATATATTCCAAGAAGCCTGAAATACTAATCAGAAAAAGTATATGCACCCCATGTTCATAGCAGCTTTATTTACAATAGCTAAGATTAAGATCTTGAAACAGCCCAAGTGTCCATCAGTAGATGAATAGATTATAAAACTGTGGTACATTTAAACAATGGAATACTATGCAGCTGTAGAAAAGAAGGATCTCTTACCCTTTGAGACAGCAAGGAGGGACCTAAAGAGTGTTATGCTCAGTGAAATAAGCCAGTCAGAGAAAGACAAGTATCACATGACCTCACTTATATGTGGAATCTAATGAACAAAATAAACTGATGAACAAACAAATCCAGAAACATTAAATGTGCAACAGACTGATGTATTTCAGAGAAAAGGGGGTGGGAAGGGTGAGGAGAGATTAACCAAAGATGTTATCCTATATAATAAAAGGCTAATATGCAAATTGACACAACGGTGGAATGACCAGTCACTATGACACGCACTGACCACTGGCGAGTGCAGCGGTGGTAGCGGGAGCCTCTCTTGCCTCTGTGGTAGTGCTAAAGATGTCCAACTGCCATGGGGATGGGCCTAAGTTGTCAGTCGGACATCCCCTGAGGGCTCTCAGACTGCGAGAAGGTAGAGGCTGGGCTTAGGGACCCCCCCGAGTGCACATTTTGTGTACTGGGCCTCTAGTATGAATATATGCATAGCCCATGGTGGGGGCCAAGGCTGAGGCAGTTAGGAGCGATCAGGCAGGCAGGCAGGCAAGCGGTTAGGAGCCAGATTGCAAGAGGGATGCCTAACTGCCGGTTTAGGCCTGATCCCTGTGGGATCCCTGTGGGATCAGGCCTAAAATGGCAGTTGGATGTCCCCTGAGGGGTCCCGAATTGTGAGAGGGTGCAGGCCAGGCTGAGCGCCCCACCCCCCCACACAAGAATTTCATGCACTGAGCCTTTAGTTATATAATAAAGTAGGTTTTCCACGTGTGTATGTTAAAAAATTGACAAATTAGTTCTATCCATTTTTACTTACATAGACAGGTTTGTGTAATTAAAATTAAGAATGTATTAAAAGTGTTCTATATGTATGACAGTAATTTTAAATTTATACTGAACAGGTCTAGTAAAAGCATGCATTCACCAGTCACAGTGAGTAAACAAATGCACAAGGCTGGGGCGTGACTTAGTACACATTAGAACATAGGCTGACATGTGTTCAAACTGCTGCAGAAATTCATGCCACACAACAACAGAACTAATTACCACAGCAATGCAGTGTGATCATATGCTAATCATTCTCAGAACATTGTTTATGAATGGTGACTCTTGAATTTAAATATATAGACTATAGTTATAGATATGTAATATTTATTTATATCAGTGAAATTACTATAGTTAGTATTTTATCCAACATATGGCCTATTTGCTAAATTTATTAAAAATAACAGAATCCCGCCAAAGCCGGTTTGGCTCAGTGGATAGAGCATCGGCCTGCGGACTGAGGGGTCCCAGGTTCGATTCCGGTCAAGGGCGTGTGCCTGGGTTGTGGGCGCATCCCCAGTGGGAGATGTGCAGGAGGCAGCTGGTCGATGTTTCTCTCTCGTCAATGTTTGTGGCTCTCTGTCTCTCTCCCTTTCTCTTTGTAAAGGATCAATAAAATATATCTTAAAAAAAAATAACAGAATCCCACAAGAAAACAGGTAGTAAAATCTCACAAAGCAGAATTTTTGCCGATCCACCTCCTAGGGCAAGAGAAACAAAGGAAAAATTAAGCTAATGGGACTACACCAGGGGTGGGGAAACTTATTGACTTGAGGGCCACAATGGGTTCTTAAACTGGACCGG